GTTGCAGTTTCGATGGGTCCTAAGTTAATTGGTTCTGTACCCACTTAGCTATAGGTGGGGGTTGCGGGTGAGGCTAATTCCCAGAAACCTCTTCTTGTACAAGGCTAATCAATGGATCGGGTAGTCTGTCTCCCAGACCATAGAGAGTCTATTATGAAATGAATCCAACTCAAGTCTAGAATGATTTGGCAAGTCTAGATTGCTCAGCTCTGAAATTAAGACTTGCTCTGGGCTCCATTTAGATTTTATTTTTTATTGTATTTTATGGATATTTATTTTAAATATGATAACTGTATTTCTGGATCTAAATGTAAGGGAATTGATGTAGTAGTGTCATCGTATCCTGACGGCATGGGGCGATGCTCATAATATCAATCATTGGGTTGACTGGTACAGACTAGATACATGTATGTACAAGCGCCGTAATATAGCTGGAATATTGCTGACTGCAGCGTTAAACAACAAACAAACAATAAGAATAACTGTGTGTGAGTATAGTTTTAATCCGAAATAGTACATTCCAGTCATATTATGGCGGGCACACCAAGAATAGCCTTCACCCATACCACCAAAATGGGGAATTGAACCCGGCTCTTCTTCGAGTGGAGCCAACGGTTTAACCACTCCACCTGACCATCAGACCCGTGAAGATTCAGGGTTAGAATAGGTCTTCAGCAACCCATGCTTGCCGTAAAAGGCGACTATGCTTGTCGTAAGAGGCGACTTACAGGATCCGATGGTCAGGCTCGTTGACTTGGTTGATGCATGTCATCGATCCCCATTGCGTGGATCGATGCTCATGATATTAAAACTGGACTGTCTGGCTCAGACTCGATTATTTACAGACCGCCGTCATATAGCTGGGATATTGCTGAGTGCGGCGTAAAACAACCAACAAACCAACCATCTCATTGCCGTGAAACAAACCCAATCGTTCTTCTTGTTCGTGGGCTGCTGCCCCCCTGACCGCGTGTTATCACAGTTGTCGGATGACGTCAATCGGCCAAACTCGCCCCTTTCCGTAATTGCAAAGAAGACTCGGATGTAAATGTAGGAATTGGGACAACTTGTGGCCAAACAGTAAACATACCTCCGCATAAACACGCTCGCGGGTGCAACCTTTTGCGCGTTAACTGTTCATCTCATTCGTCACCACTCGCCCCTTTCCGTAAACTGCTAGAAGACTCGTCGCCCTATCGATGAATGTTATGTGCGAAAATACGACAAACCAATCAGAATGCGCGTAGGACTGAAAGTACTACGGTCAAAGAATCCCTCAGGAATAATTTTTGATTTTACATAAAAATATACCCCAGATACAGTGAAATGTGCTAAATCATACTGTATAATACCGGAAGTCCGAATGTGTTTAAAACAGCATCTGGAATATATGTGACATGAGGGAAATATACGTGAATCATTACGCAACGAGTTGACAATTCTTTTAACTATGCTCGTTTGCGCTTAGACGAAACCCAGTCACAAAAATGGCCACGAGAGGGACACGAGTCGATATTCAGCTTGTCCGGAATAACACGAATTGGTCACGAATGTGTTCATCTGTGTTTCACTTTCGTCTTATATATATGTGTAGTTACTTATTTAGAAGGTTTTTTTATCCTAAATATATTAAAAAGATACTTGTATAAACAACTTTATGAAACTTTAATTCCAACATGGAGACTGTAAACAAGAGCTCGAGGGTACCTGCACGTGTGTCATCATGGCTAACATTGAATTACAAACTACGATCGGTAATTAAATTTTAAATAATTACTGGAGTGAATTTTGAACTCAAACTCAAACAGATCGAGGTTTTATGAAGCAGTTTTCTGCTTGGGGTTTTCGTTTGTCAAAGCATTCATGACTGTCGACTCCAAGCGAGAATATTTACATCACGTGACGGTCACGTGCTAGCGAGGTCGTCGGGTAAAAAATGTCTTACAATGTCTCCGACGCACTTCAGATGTGTGTTTTCAGTGGTCATGACGTCTAACTGGCCTTAGGATTAACAGTCCTTGTGCGACTCCACTTTGATCTTCAAGCCTCTTCTTATTACCGGGGATCTACACCGGACTCCGTATGTCCGGGTGTCCAAGGGCGATCTCCTCCGCCAGAGGGCGGCACCGGACGCCCCCAGCAGAGAGAGGACTGACGTACCGGCGTCAAGGTGACTCTTTCAAGAACATACCCCATTTTTAGGTAACGTAAATCAACCTACATTTACAAATTATTTTCCCGAATCTTGGTTGACAAAAAGTGATAGGTTTCGAAACGACATAAAAGGCGACTATGCTTGTCGTAAAAGGCGACTAACGAGATCGGGTGGTCAGGCTCGCTGACTTGGTTGATGCATGTCATCGTATCCCAATTGCGTGGATCGATGCTCATGATGTCAATCACAGGATTGTCTGGTTGTCACTCGATTATTTACAGACCGCTTGAATATTGCTGAGTGTGGCGTTAAACAACAAACAAACAAACAAACAAACCCTTCACACAGGAAACAAACCAGTCGAAATTGACCTGAAATGAATTCAACCCTGACATATTGTGCTACTACCAACTTGCTAATAACATAGGATCAACTAAGGGACTGGAGGGTGGTGAGATTAAGGGGATGGGGGCTATGAAAAAATGACAGTTCTATTTAAAAAAATATTTTTCACAATACCTTTGAACGTTATTTAGGGATTTTAATTTATGAAATTTATTACGAATTTATAGCACCAGAAACCAGTCCCTAAGTGCAACGTAAACCCGCGATGATCCGGGGTAGAACAGGTCTTCAGCAACCCATGCTTGCCCTAAAAGGCAACTATGCTTGTTGTAAGAGGCGAAGTTAAACAACAAACAAACAAACAAACAAATAAACAAAAAGTGCAACGTAACCTGGGAATTGGGGCGTGTCGGGGGTAGAGGGGTCATGTTTGTGTTTCTGTTGTATATGATAGGAGTCCAGGAGCAAATTGCAATGTGTTGTGTCAGTATAAGTTTACTAATATCATGAATATTCAAGTTCAAGTAATTTAACGCTTTAAGTACTATGATATCTTCACATATAATGGATTAAATCGTATAGCTCACCTTAACAATTCGGTCGTTACGTGTTGTGTTACTTTTGATTCTCAGTATATACCAGGTTAAGGTGTCGAATGAATATTATTCACTGTGTTTCTAGTCATTAATTTAAATCTGTGCTGAAATGATCATAACCCGGAAAATGGATCAGTGTCACTGGAGCCAATATGATGAATGACACCCATTGATAAACTAGCACAACAACAAAATTCCCCAAAGGCTTATTTTGGTAGTTTTTTATATTTTTGTTGTGAGATGCTTCTAGGTCATACCACACCAAAATCGACTTGTACTAATGTCCGGATTATCGGCAGTTTCTACAGGACTAGAAATGGTTCATTTATTGTTTTTTTCGACCTATGGCGCCAACCTGTATCATGGCTTGTTCCAGTTTCATTGCGGGTAGCACACTGACCCCACGCACTCCGACCGAGCATGAAGAATTGTTAACGGAATGATCGACAATGTGGTCTGCACAGATGAATAATTAGATCTTCTGGGCGGTGACGTCTGACGTTGATTGGGGGATCATCGTGTCCTGTGTTCGACATAACGGTAATTTGCAGCCCCTGTTTCGAACAATGGCAGATCAGCCCGAAATATTCGACAAATGCAGAGTAGATCCGACTACTTCATTGAAGTTATGACTTTCTTTTATTAACTTAACTGTCGTCGGTCATTGGAGCTTCTATAATGGTGGGTCTGGTCACGGGACGAAAACTTAAACGGATGGATTTTGACCAAACTTGGTTTATAGATAGATATGTCTTCATGAAAGAAGTGTTCTACAAAGGCTGAAAAATTCCAAATAGGTTAAAGGCACATGGTCAGTCTCGGATTGTCATCGAACTGAGCTCCGGGTGAAAACGTAGACAAAAAGTTCTGTCATTACAGATTCTGACTAAAACTGGTCTGGGGTTGGGTTTTTTATGCTGCGACGTGACGTGACGTCCCTGCATTTGTACAAAGGCACCCCGGTAGCGTACGTCATTCAAAATTGCCATTAACAATGATGAGTTGTGTTCTCCAATGGGTTGTGTTGCCACCCATTCAATTACACGTCGACCCCAAAAACTGACGACGTTGAATAACGCAAGCGTCGCTAGAACGTTCACCCGGACGCCTTGCAAGACCATCAGAGCTGTCAAGATGAAATATTTAAACACGAGCAAGTCTTTGACCCGAGATGATTTTTTAGGAGATATAAATAACGACAGTACAAACATTCGATAAAAAAACATTTTTGGCCACGGATTTGCTCATCGTTAGCATGCCACTTCAAAAAATTTCAGCAAAATCTGCCTTCTCCAATTGTAAAAAAACCCTTTGTCTTGAAAGACCCATAAAGTGGGATTACCGACCTAATTGGTCAATGATGATACGATTGCCAAAAGGCCCAACCAGAAACAAACATATTTTGACAGATATGAATAACCAACGCTCAATGTATGTAAATTAAGTCATATAAAACTAAGGTCAAACGTAATAATCAGCCTAATCAGTCATCTTAATATAGTCCAATTTGGTACATGAAGCAAAATTGTTACAATCATGCGGCATGAAATTGAGCCGGCTTGGGCCAACACACATTGATGGGTGAAAACAGCTTCAATTTGTAGCCAACATGAATTAGTAAAACTGTATGTACAGACGGAGCAAAATTTGGATACCCTGACAAAATGGTCAGTATTATGGTGGTACAAAGTCAAACACAACCCTACAGTTGTGCACAGATCAAACCGATGTCTGGTATTGACGCGTAGAAGTGAAGTTCATCACAGATGCGTTTCTCTCGTGATTAGGCGCATTGCCTTCCCTTCTGTGCGCCCTCAGAACGAGAAGGGGCGTGCGTGTCTGGATGAATACTGTCTGATGGGATGTACTTTTTTTGTCAGCAATTCCGATCTGATATGGCACTACTATGCCTCGCTGAACTGTTTGGGGTTCTTTTCGTTTCCCAACTCTTGAAGCGGGCACGTGTCGGAGTGTAGGTGTGGTTGTGGAGAGGGCACGTGTCGGGGTGGAGACATGGTTGTGGAGAGGGCACGTGTCGGGGTGGAGACATGGTTGTGGAGAGGGCACGTGTCGGGGTGGAGACATGGTTGTGGAGAGGGCACGTGTCGGGCTGGAGACATGGTTGTGGAGAGGGCACGTGTCGGGCTGGAGACATGGTTGTGGAGAGGGCACGAGTCAGGGTGGAGACATGGTTGTGGAGAGGGCACGTGTCGGGGTGGAGACATGGTTGTGGAGAGGGCACGTGTCGGAGAGTGGGTGTGGTTGTGGAGAGGGCACGTGTCGGAGTGTAGGTGTGGTTGTGGAGAGGGCACGTGTCGGAGTGTAGGTGTGGTTGTGGAGAGGGCACGTGTCGGAGTGTAGGTGTGGTTGTGGAGAGGGCACGTGTCGGAGTGTAGGTATGGTTGTGGAGAGGGCACATGTCGGAGTGTAGGTGTGGTTGTGGAGAGGGCACGTGTCGGAGTGTAGGTATGGTTGTGGAGAGGGCACGTGTCGGAGTGTAGGTGTGTTTGTGGAGAGGGCACGTGTCGGAGTGTAGGTGTGGTTGTGGAGAGGGCACGTGTCGGAGTGTAGGTATGGTTGTGGAGAGGGCACGTGTCGGGGTGGAGACATGGTTGTGGAGAGGGCACGTGTCGGAGTGTAGGTGTGGTTGTGGAGAGGGCACGTGTCGGAGTGTAGGTGTGGTTGTGGAGAGGGCACGTGTCGGGGTGGAGACATGGTTGTGGAGAGGGCACGTGTCGGGGTGGAGACATGGTTGTGGAGAGGGCACGTGTCGGAGAGTGGGTGTGGTTGTGGAGAGGGCACGTGTCGGAGTGTAGGTGTGATTGTGGAGAGGGCGTGTGTCGGAGTGTAGGTGTGGTTGTGGAGAGGGCACGTGTCGGGGTGTAGGTGTGGTTGTGGAGAGGGCACGTGTCGGAGTGTAGGTGTGGTTGTGGAGAGGGCACGTGTCGGGGTGTAGGTGTGGTTGTGGAGAGGGCACGTGTCGGAGTGTAGGTATGCCGGGTTGTGGAGAGGGCACGTGTCGGGGTGTAGGTGTGGTTGTGGATAGGGCACGTGTCGGAGTGTAGGTATGGTTGTGGAGAGGGCGTGTGTCGGAGTGTAGGTGTGGTTATGGAGAGGGCACGTGTCGGGGTGTAGGTGTGGTTGTGGAGAGGGCACGTGTCGGAGTGTAGGTGTGGTTGTGGTGAGGGTATGTGTCGGGGTGTAGGTGTGGTTGTGGAGAGGGCACGTGTCGGAGTGTAGGTATGGTTGTGGAGAGGGCATGTGTCGGGGTGTAGGTGTGGTTGTGGAGAGGGCACGTGTCGGGGTGTAAGTATGGTTGTGGAGAGGGCACGTGTCGGGGTGTAGGTGTGGTTGTGGAGAGGGCACGTGTCGGAGTGTAGTTGTGGTTGTGGAGAGGGCACGTGTCGGAGTGTAGGTGTGGTTGTGGAGAGGGCGTGTGTCGGAGTGTAGGTGTGGTTGTGGAGAGGGCGTGTGTCGGAGTGCAGGTTTGGGTGTGGAGAGGGCGTGTGTCGGAGTGTAGTTGTGGTTGTGGAGAGGGCACGTGTCGGAGTGTAGGTATGGTTGTGGAGAGGGCACGTGTCGGAGTGTAGGTATGGTTGTGGAGAGGGCGTGTTCTGGAGTGTAGGTGTGGTTGTGGAGAGGGCGTGTGTCGGAGTGTAGGTGTGGTTGTGGAGAGAGCACGTGTCGGGGTGGAGACATGGTTGTGGAGAGGGCACGTGTCGGAGTGTAGGTGTGGTTGTGGAGAGAGCACGTGTCGGGGTGGAGACATGGTTGTGGAGAGGGCATGTGTCGGAGTGTAAGTATGGTTGTGGAGAGGACGTGTTCTGGAGTGTAGGTGTGGTTGTGGAGAGGGCGTGTGTCGGAGTGCAGGTTTGGGTGTGGAGAGAGCACGTGTCGGGGTGGAGACATGGTTGTGGAGAGGGCATGTGTCGGAGTGTAAGTATGGTTGTGGAGAGGGCGTGTTCTGGAGTGTAGGTGTGGTTGTGGAGAGGGCGTGTGTCGGAGTGTAGGTGTGGTTGTGGAGAGAGCACGTGTCGGGGTGGAGACATGGTTGTCGAGAGGGCATGTGTCGGAGTGTAAGTATGGTTGTGGAGAGGGCGTGTTCTGGAGTGTAGGTGTGGTTGTGGAGAGGGCGTGTGTCGGAGTGCAGGTTTGGGTGTGGAGAGAGCACGTGTCGGGGTGGAGACATGGTTGTGGAGAGGGCACGTGTCGGAGTGTAGGTGTGGTTGTGGAGAGGGCACGTGTTGCAGTGTAGGTGTGGTTGTGCAGAGGGCACGTGTCGGAGTGTAGGTGTGGTTATGGAGGGGGCCTGTGTCGGAGTGTAGGTGTGGTTGTGGAGAGGGCACGTGTTGCAGTGTAGGTGTGGCTGTGGAGAGGGCACGTGTCGGAGTGTAGGTGTGGTTGTGGAGAGGGCACGTGTCGGAGTGAAGGTGTGGTTTTGGAGAGGGCATGTGTCGGGGTGGAGACATGGTTGTGGAGAGGGCATGTGTCGGAGTGTAGGTGTGGTTGTGGAGAGGGCACGTGTCGGGGTGTAGGTGTGGTTGTGGAGAGGGCACGTGTCGGGGTGGAGACATGGTTGTGGAGAGGGCACGTGTCGGAGTGTAGGTGTGGTTGTGGAGAGGGCACGTGTCGGAGTGAAGGTGTGGTTGTGGAGAGGGCACGTGTCGGAGTGTAGGTATGGTTGTGGAGAGGGCACGTGTCGGGGTGTAGGTGTGGTTGTGGAGAGGGCACGTGTCGGAGTGTAGGTGTGGTTGTGGAGAGGGCATGTGTCGGGGTGGAGACATGGTTGTGGAGGGGGCACGTGTCGGAGTGTAGGTATGGTTGTGGAGAGGGCATGTGTCGGGGTAAAGGCACGATCGTGGAGCGGGAGGTTGTTTGTTCGCTTGTTTGTTGTTTAACGCCGAACTCAGCAATATTCCAGCTATATGTCGGGAGTCTGTAAATAGTCGAGTCTGGACCAGGCAATCCAGTGATTAATGTCATGTGCATCGATCCACGCAATTGGGATACGATGACATGCATAACCAAGCCAGCAAGCCTGACCACCTGATCCGATTCGTCGCCTTTTACGGCAAGCATGGGTTGCTGAAGATATATTCTACCCCGGATCTTCATGGGTAGAGCGGGAGGTAGTGGGTGGTGGTTGAGAATGAGATGGGGCTGTGTGGGGGCTCGGTGCAACATTAATTGCTCAAAGTGGATGCGGTTGTAGGCGTAGAAAGATGACCGTGTGCGTGTGCGTGTCCATGTTTTTGACAATGGTCGTATTCATGAGGATAAATATTATTGTTGATCTACTTCTGTCAGTGCCCAAACCAGCTTATCCAACAAAGCCTCTCGTTGGCCCCCGACATGTCTAACAACGTTAATGTTAATATAGAGTACACAGCCCTTAACAGGGAAGTCGGGATGGACGGTGCACCCTGCAATTTCCTCGCGCACATACCACTTACCCGCTCCACAACCAGCCAATCAGATTCCGTCTAATTGACCAATCACTGCAGCTATTTTTGTAACATTTTTCCAAACCTTTCTGAGATCGATGGACGCGTCTCCAGCTGTTAAAGGTTCGCTTCCTAATTCAAAGACACATAGACATCGTGTGAATAACTGAATAATCACCCCATGGACTGTAGACATTGAACTTTTTAGTACACAGACAGTGACGCGATCAGGCCCGCTCCCAGCAACAGCAGTATACACACATCAGCTCCTTACACTGCACTCGAATGCTTGGTGTAATGAATGTCTCCCTAGTGGTGCTGCGGAGTTTGAGAAGCTAAACGTTCTATTACGTTCGTTTTCGTTTTCTTTTTTCAAATAAGTTCATATAGGGAATTGTAAAAAACCCAACAGATCTTATTTCAATTTTATCTGGGATGTCACTGACCTTCCGTTCGGACATCGTAAACATTCACACTAAAGATTCAATAGTATTGTTCAATATAAACAAGACGGTCATTGAATCTGTTTAACGTACTTCAAAAGAGACACCTCAGCCAATATTCTACCGATTTTATTCAAGTTAACTTAGATTAATTAGTTTTCGGGGAATGCATTCTGGCAGCAACCCCTAAACTCAGACTGCACGTTTTAAATTAAACTGCTCAAGAAGGAACGGAATACTTACAAGGTGAACTCGACCCTGTAGGCAGAGGCATCTCTCTGAAGTATCCGGGGGCAGGGGTGGCCCAGTCGTCTAAGGCGCCGCATATTCGCTGTGCAGAGTTGCGTCCCCTAGACACGCCAGAAACATTTGATCGCGCCCCGATTATGTTTCTAGGTTTGTCAGCACCATACCCGTGCTCATGGGTTTCAACGAAGTGGTAAACGTCTGAGACCTGCATCACTTCGGGCTTTCCTCCCACATTAAGCTGAAACGCCGTGATATAACTGGAATACTGTTAAAAGCGGCGTTAAACCCAACTCACTCACTCACTCACTGAAATATCCTACTAATACAACACTGTGAGTTTTAAGCAAATACTAAATGGCGTTTGGGTTTTTTTCTTGAGCGGGTGTTGAAAGTAAATTATTTAAGGACCGACTGGACATGCGAAGCTCACATAAACGACGGCCTATGGTGCATTACGTCAATATCAATTTAGAATACCAATCGGTAATACTGATACCTTCGCTCGTCAGGTCGAAGGCCCGGGTTCGATTCCCCACATGCATACAGGGAAAGAATATTGCTAAAAGCGGCGTAAAACTATAAAAATAATAACATATAAATTCAATAGAATTTAAAGAAAAGTCTTTATATTTTACGTCGAATGCACTCACCTGTATAACACATTTCAAACGTCAAATGTAGCAGGATCTATCTTTCTTTTCATACCGACCTTGATTTCTATTTTTGATTTTTCTAAATTATTCCTTTTGAAAGGCAACGTGCATTAATCAAGACATCAAAAAGACACCTCAGCAAAACGTATTTGACACACATTTTCTTATGTTGGAAAATATAAACTGCCAACGTCAGGGAAATACCAATCTCGATTACAAGGAACCGATTCCGCTGGACGAAAGAGGGAAAAAAAAAAATAAAAATAAAAAAAGTAAAATGAAAATCAGTGATGACACCAGGCGTCCGCGAAAAGGGTAAGCATATCCTGCTCTGCCGGTAGCACCCGTCACTCACAGACTCCATCGAGGGTTATAACGGTATCTCCCTTCGGAATGGTTCTGGAGCAGATAGATGTCACATCTCGTTGCTTCCAACAATTGATAGCTCTGTGGAAGCGTTAAACCAGGTGCTGTTAGCTTCCGGGTCGGGGAAATCTCACAGACTCGAAGCATCCCGGAACCCGGAGGACGTTTGCTTTCATGCCAGTACGTTTTGTGTGAGTGAGTATGGTTTTACGCCGCTTTAAACAATATTCCAGAAGTATCACGGCTATCCAGTTCCGGGGTAGAATAGGTCTTCAGCAACCCATGCTTGTCGTTAAAAATGACTTTGGTTGTCGTAGCTGGCGACTAACGGGATCGGGTGGTCCGGCTCGCTGACTTGGTTGATGCATGTCATCGTATCCAAATTGCGTGGATCGATGCTCATGATGTCAATCACTGGCTTTTCTGGTCCACACTCGATTATATGCAGGTCCCCGTCACAAAGCTGGAATATTGCTGATTTCGACGTTAAACAACAAACAAACTAGGCTAACCAACCCCAAGCAATAGAAACAACCTCCTAACATTACGACCCGTGAAGATCCGGGGTAGAATAGGTCTTAAGCAACCCATGCTTGTCGTAAAAGGCGACTTTGGTTGTCGTAACTGGCGACTAACGGGATCGGGTGGTCAGGCTCGCTGACTTGGTTCATGCATGTCATCGTATCCCAATTTCGTGGATCGATGCTCATGATATCAATCACAGGATTGTCTGGTCCAGACCGCCGTCATATAGCTGTTATATTGCTGAGCACGGCGTTAAACAACAAACCAACCAACCAATCCTAATATTACAACATTAAAGTACATGTAAATAATATTAAATTTAGTGAATGATGAGAAGCGATGTTCAGATATACCCACTTCTTGTTAGGGACAACATTGGGAGAAACAATTTCGTGTTCCCTTCCTAAAGATGGAGATGCAGAGGTTGAAATTGCTGATTTGTTGCAGCTGAGTGTCATGTTCTGGTGTCTCTTCTTGTCGCATGTTCGTGCGCCGCAACCGATGTGGACACAACTGATTAGAAAGTATTGATTTTATAGTTCTGGATAATTCTCCCTCTGAGATTCAGGCGGTGCTATTTTAGCCCAGTTATTTAGGGTAACATAGTGGCAATCAAGCAGTTAAATCAGATGATGACGATGTAATTCTCAAAAAACATGTAATTCATCTTTCGCGGCACAAATTCTACATTAAATCCGATTGAGAAATTCGGATCACAGAAAACCCGTTCCGTAATGTTAACACGTGTAAATAGCGTAATCTGATACGAACACAAGCAAAATATATGTAAAGAAATCCAATACCTTTCCAACCACAACCAATCTCTGCTGAAGAGCCAATTGTATAATTCCGACTGTATCATGAGCATGTGTTTATGAATCACTATCAAATAGTGGTGATACCAAGTGTTCACGAAAAGCTGAGTGTACACCGCCCAACAGTGGCACCGTCACAAATACATGCAAAGGCAACTCAATTATCAACAGGGGGCACGGGTGGCCCAGTCGTCTAAGGCGCCGAGATTCGCTGTGCAGAGTTGCGTCCCTTGGGCACGCCAGAAACCTATGATTGTGGGTTCGAATCCCGGTTCGCCCTGATTATGTTTCTAGGTTTGTCAGCACCATACCCGTGCTCGTGGGTTTCGCCGATGTGGTAAACGTCTGAGACCTGCATCACTTCGGGCTTTCCTCCCACATTAAGCTGACGCGCCGCGATATAACTGGAATACTGTTAAAAGCGGCGTTAAACCCAACTCACTCATTCAGTTATCAACACGGAAAAACACACACGGAAAATATGGTACAAGTCAAAATAGGGAATTGCATCGGACACATTTGCCACTGTATAAACATTTGGAAAAGTCCTCCACATGTCTATCATTAAGCTTTTTGAAAGCTTTACTAAGGCCTTGAATGTAAACCTAGTATTAATCCTTATAGAAAACTCTCGACATCACTGTACTTATTCATCGACATTACGTTTAGGGATGATAGATCACTAAGAGGAGCTAATGCACACTCGATGCCACGCTCCTTCCCAACGCGATATAACTGGAATACTGTTAAAAGCGGCGTTCAACCCAACTCACTCACTCACTCCTTCCCAGCGCGTGACACCTTCGTTACACCCCTGGTAACATCGCTGCCACCAGTGTGGGCGCGGCCAATACAAGAATCTTGAAAGTTGCCCTCTAACCCCAATTGCAGTAACGTTTATACTTTTGTTTATGTCTTTGAGAATGCCATCACAGTTAATTTTGAAAGGGTTTCAGGCTGACCATATTTCACAGATGAATTTACCTTTTTGTTTGTTTGATCGGATTGGTTCGAGATTGCAGACGAACGGAAATTCGACCAACTTCTCCCTAACATTCTTACTAAATCAATTACATCAGAGTTGTAATGAAACAGAAACTCAAATTGACAAAGAAAGAAAGTAATTTAGCCCTGGGTAAGAATATTTGGCGTCATGGCAGTCATCACTTGTTTGTAAACATAACGGTCTGTCGCTTGCGAGTTCAACTCCATGCATAGATGTAGCTGCCTATCACAGAGGGGAGCTTTGACTGCTGACAGCGATAGTGTAAGAGAGCTCCGCGAACGGG